CAAGCACTAATATTTGCATAAATTGATTATTTGATAAGTTTGTATTAAAATTATTTATCTATGATTTCACTTAAGACACCCAGATGTAGTGCAGAGACACATTTTCTTTTACCCCATATAACACAAAATCTAGTTCCGAAAAGAGCATGAATTATGTATTTATCATCTTTGATGTTAGTGTATTGATGTTTTTAATTAACCACAAAAATGTTTTATATTTTGAATATTCCACTTGAGGGTATTACTGCTGCCACCATCTGTATTAGAGAAGAAAAAATGGTAGAGATGGCCACAGGGGTAGCCAATGATTGGGTAAGGGTGGCCATGGCCACCCCTGCCCCCTGTCTAGCTCCGCCCCTGTCCTGGGAGCAGCAGACTGCTCTGATTAATAACAGGACTTCCCAAATTATCCGTGACCCTTCTGAGACCTGAGAAAATACTATTTTACCTCACAGCAGTCAAAAAATTAACAATGTATTGTTTTCATGTTTATTTTTCATTTTAATTTACTTTTCCAAACTGTTTATATAATGATCTAAATTCTTTATGTACTGACTGTTGTGTCAGGGATGCGTGGAACCTAATTTTTTTTTTTCAATGTGATAAATAAAAAATATAAAGTTGAATTATTCTTTTAGATTCTGTGCCTCTATTCTGTCTCATTGGACATTTTGGTCTTGAACTCAAAATAAATACATCAAATTTATTTTTATCTAAAAAGAGGACTTTTGACAGTGGAGCAGATTTTATCAACTCTCTCTCTCTCTTAGGCTAGCATTAGTCACATTGTCTCTGTTTCAGGAGCAGGCTGGTATTGAACCCAGGGTTGGGACAGCTGTAGCCCATATCCTGGATACGTCTCTGTTGTGTCCCTTTTTAAAGCTTTTACACTCACTGTCAGCCAAAACCTTTTAATTCTCCTCCAAATCTTTAAGACCACAGGTTTTATTACAATGTTTTTACATCTGTGGTGTTTTGTGACCCTCTATTGAAATGCATAATAGAAATGTAGACGGTGTTAGTGCCTCTCTGCCTGGCGCCAGTCTTTATCTCAGGTAAGTCATAATGTCTCTAACATCACCCTCGTTAATTAATTATGTTATTTGTTTTACACTTTATCTATGTTCTGAGAAATGAAATGTTATCTTATTATTTTCTATAAGCCTTAACAATCAAACATTCCTTAGATAAACAATGGAAACTATGTATTGTAGATCTATATAATCTATATATGTTTCTCTTCCTAAATTAAATGAAAGAAAAAAGTGAACTTTTCTCTTCTGTCAGCTGAGATGAAAAATCACACATCTTGTTTCTCTGGAGTACAAATCAAATCATATTATAGATTTTAAATCCAATTGCCATCTTTTCATAAGCGCCAGTTTTTTCAACTAATAGTAAGTCAATTATTTTTATGATTGTTTTCAATGCTGCTCATTACTGCAAAATAAACTTATTTCCAAGTTATATTTCAAAGAACATTTAAGATTTCAAAAATCGAGCAGTATATTTTCTTCTTGTGTTTTGTTGTCTTTGTTGTCATTTGGATATTTTCCATTTGGTGTCTTTTAAATTAAATATATTAAAGTAGGTGGAGTCAGGGGAGGAGCTAGAAGGAGGGGAGGTGGACAGTAATATAAGTCAGATACCGAAAGACCAAGATACCTTTCGATACTCCAAGATTGTACTCTTTGATTGATTGGTTGATTGATTTACTTTATTTACTTCTTACATCAGCTCAATACTCAAAGAAGAACAATGTGCCAAAGGAAGAAAAAGGTGCATGGGATATAGAATTCAGTTCAGTTTTCAATTCAGTTTATTTATATAGCGCCAATTCACAACACATGTCATCTCAAGGCACTTTACAGTTCAGCAGCTCATACAGTCATATTGATTCAAAGCCTTCTATCTAAGGAAAACCACCTGATTGCATCGACTTATTGACTCAAATGCAACACCTCACACTAAGCATGCTTGTAGCGACAGTGGAGAGGAAAAACTCCCTTTTAACAGGAAGAGACCTCCAGCAGAACCAGACTCAGTCTGAGTGGCCATCTGCTGAGGCTATATTTACAGTATATAAAGTGCGTCCACATATGACAGCTTTTTTTTTTTTTTTTTTTTTTAGGATCATTACACCAGGTTGTTGCACAGGGTGTTTACACCGGTATTTATATGGATGGTATTTATATTTATATTAATATAGTTATTGCACTGGGCGTCAAATGGTAAATTACACAGTTTACAGTACACAGGTTATTGCTGTTGCGGTGTCACATTGTAGAGTCCGGTTGCAGCAGGGATGAATGACCTGCAGTTGTGCTCCTTTTTAAAAACAGGGTATAAAAGTCTGTACTTTTACCTTTAGGATTTGGGTTATTTTAAGTATCAAAGTTTAGCTACATTTCATGTTTTTGTTGTAAAATATGGAAAACAAGTTTTGAACTGGGTCTTGGGTTAGAGGCACAATGTTCTTTGAATGTTCAATTTTAACAATACATATCACTGCAAACAAGATTCTGCAAATCAAAATAGTATTGTATGCTTTTTACAATGACAATATAGCCTAAATAAAGACAATAAAGCCTGTGTTTACAAATTAGAGCATTTTATTCATGAGGCAACCATAAAAGTTGGAG